ATGCGCGAGGTGGCGGGGACGGAGGAGAAGGGATCAAAGGACCGGGGCCAAAGGTGGCCGAGCCGCGGGCGCTCTCTCCCCGCGTTCGGGGCGCTGCGCTGCACGTCGACCTTGGCCGGATCTGGGGGGCGGGGGACGGCAAAGATGGGGCACCCGTCCCCCTTTCCACTGCGGGGTGCTGCTAAGGGAAGTGTTCCGTCTCTCTAAACCCCAAACTCGGGGTCCCCTGTCCCAGCATAGAAGCAAGCGCTGGAGGCGAGCGATCGGCGCGGGCTGAAGGCTGTACCGGGGGACGGACCTGCCGGGCTGGTCCGAGGGAAGGCAGGCAGCAGCGGTGCGCGGCGGGGGGGGGGGGCAGCGGAATTTAAGCCGCATTTTAGGGTCACCTTCTGTGGACTGCGGGAGTTGCGGGGAGAGTACCATTCCGAGCAGGAGTGTAATGAGACTTGCAACTGGGGCGGGGATTTGTAGGTCACACTGGGAAAACAATAAACACAGCTTCGGGGAAATAGACACTGAACAGATTTTTGTAAACAGATCGGGGCGCCGGGGATGGAGTGGGGACCTAATTGGCAGGCTGACTCCAGAACGCGACCAAGGTCACGGTGACCTTGCATCGGGGTGTGCCTAGCATCTGGTTTCCTAATCGTGGTTTCCCAAAGGGCCAAGTTGGCGCCTTGCTTTTCTAGGTGTTCTCTTCCTCATCCAGTGCAGACTGCTCCGAGGAGCACCTGCCTTTGGAGATAAGACTCTGTGGCTGATAATCCTTGAGATCTAGTGCAAATGATCTGTATCAGTGATCTCATTTGTAAAATGGAACAATATCTGCCAGACATTGGTAGCTCATGCCTGTAATCCTAGCTGCTGGGGAGGCTGGGAGATGGGAGAGTCAGTGCAAGAAAGTCTGTGAGACCTCTCAATTAACTCCCCCCAAAATTGGAAGGGAAGCTGTGGTTCAAGTAGTAGAGCACCAGTCTTGAGCGAAAATAGCTCAGGGATAGCACTCAGGCCCTGAGTTCAAATCTGCGTGTCAGCACACACACACACACACACACACACACACGAATAATACACGTCTGTTGTAAGATAAGGTATACTAATCATACTAGCTGCTCTAGCTCAAGCCACCAGTAGGTTAAAATTTGGCAACCAACTAGCAAGAAATCATTCATCAAAATAGAGCCAGCAGATTATAAAGACTGAATATACTATGATCAAATTTAAGGCACATTCTTTATCTATTCAGATACTAGTCCCAGACCCCAAATTCTGGAAGCAGAATGAGGGTAAATAGCATGTCTATAACTTGGAATATGTGGTTTGCATCACCCTATCAATGCTATGTATTGATTTTAGAATCAATAATTCCAACATGTGGGAGCACACTCAATTACTACAGAGTTGTGAGTGTACTTCAGGTTCAGGAGCCTGTGGGCTTTGCCTTTTTCTAGGATTACAGAGTCCTAGAAATTCTTTGCAAAATGCCAACGCTGTACTTTGTAAGACAAAGTCAGATCTACTCGGTCTTGAACCAGTTGCATCTGGCAGAAGTGGTGACAGCTGAGTTTAATCATGTGTAGGTGTGTCTTTCACCATTTTTCTGGGTGTTTTGTTGTGGTAATTGGGAAGAGAGGAACTACTGATAATTGTGACCTCCAGTGGTGTGATCACAATAGAAACAGGGGAGCTGGTGGGTTCACAACTACTGCCTGCAGGGGGCGCTCTACTGATAGTCACTACAGGCTTGAGGGAAATCATTGAGTGTGCCAAAATAAATAAATAAAAGTGAAACTAGTGTCAGTCTCCTGTGCCAAAATTACTCTAGTAGAAGACATGTTAAGATTCTATTTCACATCATGCCCATTCCTCTTAATAGCTGAGTTGT